GGCTCTCACTCTGTCACCGAGGCTGAAGTACAGTGACATGATCACAGTTAACTGCAGCCTCAACCTCCTGGGATCAGGTGATCCTTCTACCTCAGCCTCCCAAGTAGCTGGGACTTCAGGCATGCACTACCAAATCCAGCTAAATGTTTTTATTTTTGTAGAGACCAGGTTTTGCTATGTTTCCCAGGCTGGTCTTGAACTCCTGGGCTCAAGCAATCCTCCCAACTTAGCCTGGGATTATAGGCAAGAACCACCATGCCGGGCTAATTTTTTAAAATTTTTTTAGGGTCTCACTATGTTGCCCAGTCTGGTGTTGAACTCTTGACCTCAAGCAATCCTTCTGCCTCAGCATCCCAACATGCTGAGAGTGTAAGTATGAGCCACCACCATGCCTGGTTGAAAGATTTTTATCAACAAAGATTTTCATCAACAAATGCCAGGTTTTATTTTCCAGAAGGCATTACTGTATTAATAACTGTATTGTTCACATTCAATGAGGACAACAAGAGGAAGGATACAGATTCTAATTTCAGATGTGAACAACAGTTGAGTTTTGTTCTGTTCCATGTATGTACGACACAGGTTAGTTTTAGCATGAGGATGGAGCCGGAAGAAGTTTTTGCTAGTTTATAGCTGAAAACCACACAACCCATTGCCATGAATAAAGTGCACCCACAGCTGACACTATTCAGGAGCATAAATCCCTTATATCCACAGTATTGCTATACAATAGAGTTGTTGCCTACAGTATTTTGTTATTTATGTATGCTGTAGGTTTCTCTCAAGGTAGAAGTGCTACCTTCTCCTGATTCTGAAAAAAACAGATGATCACTGTAAGAAAGTTCAGAGAGTAAAGGGACAAGTAAGGTGAAGAGGCACATTTGTAGCAAATCCTATCCCCCTGAGAGAAGCTGTATTGATGGTTCTTCCAGGCATAGGGTTGGTTTTCCATTTCCTCAATTTTAGGATTCATAAAAGCTTCACATTTTTGAAATGTGTATGTATCTCCAAATGGGCTTCATAGTTACTGTAACAATAATGTCTCTCTTATTAATATACTCTGCTACCCAACTGTTTTAGAGAATGAGGCAGCTCTGTAGGTAGTAGCATGGAATGAGCATCAGACACAATAAGTGGAAAAAAAAGTACAGATCAGTTCATATACTATGCTATCATCTATATATTTATTTTGTCAAAAATGGATACTAATGCACTGGGAAATGCATATTTGATTTCTAGAAGGAATCACAAAGGACAGAAAAAGGGCTGACTGAAAAGGGAGGAGTTAAAGGTAGGAAAAGACTTTTTTTTTTGTATATCCGTCTCATCTTTACAATGTTTATGTTTTACTGATTTAAAAGTACAGTAATTGACCTTTTAAAAAGCAAAGACTAATACCACTACTATTATGGGTACCCACATATGAAGCCAACATATAAAAACACTTTTAGAGGACTACATGTAAAATTCATTACAGTGTTTGCCCCAGAGAGAAAAGAAGGAAAAGGAATGGGCCTGATCAAAGGAGATATTATATATAGCTATGAAGTTTCTCAAAAAAATTATCTAAAAAGTTATCGTAAGCAAATATAAAATAATTATCACTTGTCAATGATGAGCGGTGTGTGCATGAGTGTTATATAATTTATGTATCCTGAATTTAAATGTCATTAAAAGCATAAAAATTGAAGCAAAAATCTATCTCATGGATACCACCACACATCCATCATAATTGCTAAAATTAAAAGACTAACAACATCAAATGCTGGAGAAGATTTATAGAGCAACTGGAACTCTGATACAACGTCAGGCCGGGCTCAGGGGCTCAGCCTGTAATCCTGTGCCTTTGGGAGGTTGAGGTGAGTGTATTGCCTGAGCCCGCGGGTTCGAGACCCGCCTGAGCAACTTGGCAAGACCTCATCTCTACAATAAAAAATCAAAAATTAGCCGGGTGTGGTAGCACGTGCCTGTAGTTCCAGCTACCTGGAAGGCTGAAGCAGAAGGATCGCCGGAGCCCAGCAGGTTGAGGCTGCGGTGGCCGGGAGCAGCTACTGCACTCCAGTCTGGGCAACAGAGTGAGACTCCGACTCAAAAAAACCCCCCAAGAAAACAACAATGTCAGAAAGGTTGTAAAATGTTTCAATTATTTTAGAAAGTGCTCTGGCAGTTACTTATAAAACTAAAAAATAAATAAATAAAAGTACCCCACAAGCCAGCAATCTATTCTCAGGTAGTAAGCCAAGAGTAATGAACATATATTAACAAAAAGAGTTGTATGAGAATGTTTATAGCAGTTTTATTCAGAGAAGCCAAAAAGTGGAAACAGCCCAATGTCCATCAACAAAAAACTAAAAAACCAAACTGGTCTATGTATACAATGAAATGCTATTCTGCAATTAAAAAAGAAACAGACTACTGATACATGCAACAACATAACTCTCTAAGACATTATGCTGAGTGAGAGAATCTTTGCACAATATAGTGCACACACTATGATTCTACTTATGTGAAGTCCAAGAATAGTCAAAACAAATCTATCATAGAAAAAAAAGTCAGAAAAGTGGTTGCCAGGGAAGGGAGGTTATACAAAGGTGTGGGGACTGACTGGGAAAGGGCATGAGATAACTTTCCAGGGTGACTGTAATGCTCTGTGCTTTGAAAGAGGTTTGGGTTACACAAGTATATACATTTGTCAAAATTCAGTGAGTGTACACTTAAGACATATACATTTTTATTGTAAATAAACTTTGCCTCAACTAGAAAAATAATCTGTAAGCAAATTTTGAATACTAATTAAATACTCTGGAGTATTTACCCAGAACAACATAAATTGTTCTACCAAAAAGACACCTGCACATGCATGTTTATTGCTGCACTATTCACAACAGCAAAAACATAGAGCCAACTCAGATGTCCATTGAAAGTGGTCTGGATAAAGAAAATGTGGTACATACACAGGATGGAATATTATGCAGTCATAAAGAACAAAATCATGACCTTTGCAGCAACATGATTGCAGCTGGAGAACATCAAACTAAGTGAACTATCACAGAAACAAATAACTGAATACATGTTCTCACTCATAAATGGGTCCTGATCACTAGTCACACTAGCACTAGGGTAGAATTAGACACTGGACACTGTGGGGAAGGGGAGGGTGGGGTATGTGGCAACACACTAGCTAGCTGGTCCACTACCAGGGGGAGAGAGGGTCAGCTAGAAGCCCAAATTTCACCTGCATGCAATCTAATTAGGTAGAAAAACCACACTTGTACTTCACAACACCAGAATAAAATAAATAAATATCCTGGAATATTTAAAGTGAAGTGTACTGATGTCTGCAATTTACTTTAAAGTATGTCAGAAAAAAGATGAATGGACATATGGAGCTATATACAACAAAACAACTATAGCTAAATGTTAATGGCAATATCTAAGGGCCAGGTATATATGTGTTCATTATGAAGCCCTTTTAGATTTTCTGTGTGTCTGAAAATTTTCATAATAATTTGTTGATAACACTAAAAAATATCTCTGGTTAAGCTATTCTTTAAAACACACATACCCAGTGTATATGGCAGGATATCTTTGTCAATACATATTAGTCTACTGCATTATTATTAAACATAGTAATTTTAAAGAGGAGTTTATAAACACTATATTAAATTTCTGGAACTATCACAGAAGATATTATGTTTAAAATAAGAGCAGTAAATACTAAATGTACTTTTTTTTTTTTTTTTTTGAGAAAGCAGGGTTTATTGAGAGGACACAAACACTCCCACAGTGGGAGGGTACCTGAAGTACTTTTTGATTTGCAAATATGAAACCAGACCCCATGTAAGGCTGGTTTCTAGCAACAGCTCAATATCTCTCCCATGATCTCCTCTAACCCAGTACACTCTACTCATAAAAGGAAGAAACGGCAGTACTCCACTCCACTCATAAGGAGAGTGAGGAAGTTTCTAAGGGGCACAAAAGCCTTTCCTCTCTTTCTTCCTTCCCGCAGGTGACATGAAGTAGGCCTCTCTAATCACACCTCTCCGCTCCCCTTCCCACACTGCTTTGGCCCCATACACCTGATGTGACCAGCCCAAGACAAGGGATAAATCTGTTCTCTCTTGCAGATGCTCCGCCTCTTGCTCAGATACCTTTAAGTGTGCACAAGATCAGCTTTCTTCTAAGGATCATCAGATCCAAGTTGAGGTTTAGGTTGAGAGGGAATGCTCAGGCTTTGCCCTTTAGCATAGCAAAAGGAATCCATGATTCAGGCTTGCTTACCAGAATACTGCACAGCTCCAGCCAAAGCCAAGCTTTTCTTCCCCTGTTTGAATTGATCTGTTATAGTGCCTGTGTCTCTGCACATGAGCATCCATCCCTCAGGGCATCAGAAGAGGAATGGCAGCCGTGTGGGGTGGAAGTAGGTCATTTCTAGATGTCCTTATCAAATATTCACTAATACCATCCAAACACCACAAATTTTAAATGTACACCACTTCTTTTCTTCCCATTTTATACATTGGATACATATTTCCAAATCAATACACACAGATTTATCTACCTCATGCTTTCAAATCTTTAAATTGGAGTTTATGAGTATCCTGGTCCAGTGATAATTAAAGGAGATGTAATACTATCAAGGACCACAGATTCTATCATTTTCCCTCAATAGAACACTTAGATGTCAGGGCCCTGAACTAGGGCATAGGGACCTCATGACAAGTTACAGTACTTTAAAATGTGACATTCCACATTCTCTGTATATGTGGAATTACATTACAGGTCAAAAGGTGACTCAGTCCATCAGTGTCTTATATATAAGATTCCAAGATACACAGATTGTCAGATTTGAGTTTTCTTAACAAACTGAATGACTAGATGTTTTTGCATTATATAAATATTCCCTAGTTTCCTGTTTATAATACACAATAATGTATAAAAACCATAAAATAATTTTGGAATTGATACATGATGGAATGACTATTACTTATCATTCTTACCTCATTTGAAGGAATGGTGGCAAAGGGTTTGATGACAGCAGCCAGTGGGATCTGAGCTTGCTTGGCCATGTCTGACGTGCATGGGAAACAGTACGTTGTGCACCGGATGTATCGAGGACTGGCATTGCCTGAAACATTCCAAAGGACACACTTAAAAATTTTGCTTAGAAAACATCTGCCCTAAGATATTTAAACATTTGTAAAGATACTTCTAGGTAATGCATCACACTACTTCTTATTTGTAAACTCTCTTCATGGTTTCTTAAAAAAAAAAAAGTGGTATCTTGCAATACGATATATAGTTTAGGCATACTATAATATCTTGTAAAATAAAACAGTTAATTCTATAGCAAAGATATAAAAGGTGTGTTTTAATTATTATAATCTTCCATAAGTAGAATCTTAGTATAGCTTTACTATAGACCTGAGAGGTATTTAGATTCAAGGGGAGAAATAAAACAAAGAAGAGCAAAAACATGAAAAACACCATTTTGGGATCATGATCATTTTGTTTTCGTTTGCTCCTGTTTATGAGAAAGGTAAGTATTTGTATGTCATTTCATATTATCAAGTGACATTTTTGTCAAGTATAATTCCATTTGATTATTTTATTCTAAATTTGGCAGTTAAATTTAGAAATGAAAATTCTACTTGGAATACAAATATTCTTTTCAAAAAATCCTCATCTATTTTTATTAGATGTTAGACTTCCTGACCAACTAGCTCTGTTTCATGGCATACTTGAGTGCTAAAACAATATCTGTGACATGAAGAATACTTTTGTTTTTTTTAGTTAGAGTCACCCAGGCTGGAGTGCAGTGGTACGCTCACAGTCACCCCAGCATTGACTCACTGGGCTCAGGCAATCCTTCCACTTCAGCCTTCCAAGTAGCCCTAACTACAGGTGCACTACCACACCTGGCTAATTTTTTGATTTGTTGTAGAGATGAGGTCTTGCCAAGTTGCCCAGCCTGTTCTCTCACCTAGGCCTCCCAAAGTGCTGGGATTACAGGCTTGAGCTACGCGTCCAGCCAAAGAATACTTTTAATCACTAGAATAACTTATCTAAAATAAATTTTGAAATGAGATTTCAATATGACTAGATAAATGTAATCATAAAGCTAATGTTTACTGAGTATCCACTATGCTTTAGGCACTGTCCTAGGTGCTTCCCAGGTGAGTTTCTGTTCTTGTAGAGGACACGGGCGATAATATTAAACCTAATAAATTCTATAGAACAGGGGAGGATACGTGATATGAAAAAGCATATCTGGCATACCAGGGGGTGGGAGGCAGACTGCAATTCTAAATACTTACAAAGTGGGACTATTTTAAAAAGTAACATCTAAGCACAAAGTTGAAGGAGGCAAGGGATTTACCCAAGCAGATACCTGGGGGAAGGGCACACCTGGCCCTGTAGAGGGACGGCAGAGAGCGTGTGTAGCTGGAATAGAGTCACTGGGGGTCGCCCCAGATAGTGATGGTTTAGAGAAGCAACAGGGAACAGATCAGGCAGCTCTTGAGACTTTTTTAAGCCTCTGACTTTTACTCTGAAAAAAATGCAGAGTCACTGCTGGGTTTGGAGCAGGTGAAGGTCATGATCTGACTTAGGTTCCTTCGCCTGTGATTTTGACAATAAACTACGGCGGGAGGAGTAAAATCGATGGGACCATGAGGAGGCTGCTGCAGTAACCAGTCTGATAGAAGCTGAGATGTTGAGCTGTGGCCAGATCCCAGATATATTTTGGAGGTATTATGACTTATTTGTTAACGGACATGATGTACAACATGTGAAAATGTGAGGTGTGAAGGAGTGGGGGCGGGGAGGAATGACTTAGGTTTTTGGCCCGAGGAACTAGAAGCATAAAGTTGCCATCAACCAAAAAGGGAAAGGCTGCTGGAAGGGAAGGAGTGTTTTAACGGGTGTGTGGGCAGAGATCAGGAATCTGGTTCTGGACATATCCAATTTGGGAGATCTATTATGCAATCAGACAGCAGTGCTGAATAGACAATTAGACGTGCACGGCTGAAGACTGACCTAAATGTGGGCTGGAGATCCACATCTGGGAGTTCTCAGGAGGTAGATGGTATGTGAAGCCATGAAGCTACAGTTAAAACCACCAGAGGAATAACTGGCCAAAGAAGAGAAGACAGAAAGGACTGAGCCCTATGGTCCTCCAAGGCGGGTGGGGATCAGAGGAAGCAGCCAAGTGGCTGAGAAGGATGAAAATCAGGAGCTTTGTGTTCTGGCAGTGAGGTGGAGAAAGTACGTCAAAGCATTAACACGATTATCTGTGCCAGATGGTGCAGCCAGAGACTCTGGAGAGAGTGTTGGTAGGATGCTGGGGGCGAGGGAAACCTACTTAGATGAATTTAAGAAATAATAGAGGCTGGGCTCAGTGGCTCAGCTTGTAATCCCAGCACTTTGGGAGGCTAAGGAGAGTGGATTGCCTGAGCTTGCGGGTTTGAGACCAGCCTGAGCAACTTGGTAAGACCTTGCCTCTACAATAAATAAAAAATTAGCCAGGCATAATAGTGTACGCCTGTAGCTCTGGCTACTTGGAAGGCTGAGGCAGAAGAATCGCTGGAGCCCAGGAGGTCGACACTGTGGTGACCATGAATGTGCCACTGCACTCCAGCCTGGGTGACAGAGTGAGATTCCAATTCAAAAAGAAAAAATAGTAGAAAGAGAAGAATCAGTGAAAACGCTTTCAAGTTTTGCTGTAGAGGGAAGAAAAGAGGGGAGACTGGTAAGGGAAGTAGACTGAGAAAACATTTTTATTTTTTAAGATAGGAGAAGTTTTTTTTTTTTTTAAAGATGAGAGAATTCTATTTTTAAAATATTGATAATACAAGAGGAAGAGGAAAGGCCAGGTATGGTGGCTCACACCTATAATCCCAGCACTTTGGGAAGCCAAGACAGGAGTACTGCTTGAGCCCAGCAGTTCAAGATCAGCCTGGGCAATATAGCAAGACCCCACCTCTAGCCCACGGGTTCGAGACCCGCCTGGGCAACTTGGCGAGACCTCATCTCTACAATAAAACAAAAAATTAGCAGGGCATGGTAGCGCACACCTGTAGTTCCAGCTACTTGGAGGTTAAGGAGGAAGGATCGCCGGAGCCCAGCAGGTCCAGGCTGCGGTGGCCGGGAGCGGCCACTGCACTCCAGTCTGGGTGACGGAGTGAGACTCCAACTCAAAAAATATATCTAAA